AGCTGCGGGCCACGAAACGCTGCCCTGGGTGGGGGAACCGCATGCGCACCCCCACTGGGGCCTTCGGTGGAGCTCCCTATGGGGCCACGAAACGCTGCCCTGGGTGGGGGAACCGCATGCGAACACCCCCACTGGGGCCTTCGGTGGAGCTCCCTATGGGGCCACGAAACGCTGCCCTGGGTGGGGGAACCGCATGCGAACACCCCCACTGGGGCCTTCGGTGGAGCTCCCTATGGGGCCACGAAACGCTGCCCTGGTGGGGGAACCGCATGTGGACACCCCCACTGGGGCCTTCGGTGGAGCTCCTATGGGGGCTACGAAACGCTGCCCTGGTGGGGGAACCGCATGTGGAACACCCCCACTGGGGCCTTCGGTGGAGCTCCCTATGGGGCCACGAAACGCTGCCCTGGGTGGGGGAACCGCATGTGGACACCCCCACTGGGGCCTTCGGTGGAGCTCCCTCTGGGGCTACGAAACGCTGCCCTGGGTGGGGGAACCGCATGTGGACACCCCCACTGGGGCCTTCGGTGGAGCTCCCTATGGGGCCACGAAACGCTGCCCTGGGTGGGGGAACCGCATGTGGACACCCCCACTGGGGCCTTCGGTGGAGCTCCCTATGGGGCTACGAAACGCTGCCCTGGGTGGGGGAACCGCATGTGGACACCCCCACTGGGGCCTTCGGTGGAGCTCCCTATGGGGCCACGAAACGCTGCCCTGGGTGGGGGAACCGCATGTGGACACCCCCACTGGGGCCTTCGGTGGAGCTCCCTATGGGGCTACGAAACGCTGCCCTGGGTGGGGGAACCGCATGTGGACACCCCCACTGGGGCCTTCGGTGGAGCTCCCTATGGGGCTACGAAACGCTGCCCTGGGTGGGGGAACCGCATGTGGACACCCCCACTGGGGCCTTCGGTGGAGCTCCCTATGGGGCTACGAAACGCGTGAGAGGTGTGCCGAGAGCAGAGGCAAGGAGGAGGGAGGAGGGGGAGGAGGAAGGAGAGGAACGCGGGGCACCGTCTCTTCAAAACGAGGACCCAACACCACAGGATGGTTGGGAACAATTATCCTGGCGAAAGACCCAACCATAAGCAATTGTTGGTAACGCGTTGTGGGTGCCGCTTTCGGTGGGGCTCCATATGGGGCCACGAAGCGCTGCCCTGGATGGGGGAACCGCATGCGGACTGCGCCACCGGGGCGGGCCTTCGGTGGAGCTCCCTATGGGGCTACGAAACGCTGCCCTGGGTGGGGGAACCGCATGCGAACTGCGCCACTGGGGCCTTCGGTGGAGCTCCCTATGGTGCCACGAAACGCTGCCCTGGGTGGGGGAAGCGCATGCGAACTGCGCCACGGGGGCTTTCGGTGGAGCTCCCCATGGGGCCACGAAGCGCTGCCCTGGGTGGGGGAACCGCATGCGAGAGCAGCCACTGGGGCCTCCGGTGGAGCTCCCTATGGGGCCACGAAACGCTGCCCTGGGTGGGGGAACCGCATGCGACACCCCCACTGGGGCCTTCGGTGGAGCTCCCTATGGGGCCACGAAACGCTGCCCTGGGTGGGGGAACCGCATGCGAACACCCCCACTGGGGCCTTCGGTGGAGCTCCCTATGGGGCTACGAAACGCTGCCCTGGGTGGGGGAACCGCATGCGAACACCCCCACTGGGGCCTTCGGTGGAGCTCCCTATGGGGCCACGAAACGCTGCCCTGGGTGGGGGAACCGCATGCGAACACCCCCACTGGGGCCTTCGGTGGAGCTCCCTATGGGGCTACGAAACGCTGCCCTGGGTGGGGGAACCGCATGCGAACACCCCCACTGGGGCCTTCGGTGGAGCTCCCTATGGGGCCACGAAACGCTGCCCTGGGTGGGGGAACCGCATGTGGGTGGGGGAACCGCATGCGAACACCCCCACTGGGGCCTTCGGTGGAGCTCCCTATGGGGCTACGAAACGCTGCCCTGGGTGGGGGAACCGCATGCGAACACCCCCACTGGGGCCTTCGGTGGAGCTCCCTATGGGGCCACGAAACGCTGCCCTGGGTGGGGGAACCGCATGCGAACACCCCCACTGGGGCCTTCGGTGGAGCTCCCTATGGGGCTACGAAACGCTGCCCTGGGTGGGGGAACCGCATGCGAACACCCCCACTGGGGCCTTCGGTGGAGCTCCCTATGGGGCCACGAAACGCTGCCCTGGGTGGGGGAACCGCATGCGAACACCCCCACTGGGGCCTTCGGTGGAGCTCCCTATGGGGCCACGAAACGCTGCCCTGGGTGGGGGAACCGCATGCGAACACCCCCACTGGGGCCTTCGGTGGAGCTCCCTATGGGGCTACGAAACGCTGCCCTGGGTGGGGGAACCGCATGCGAACACCCCCACTGGGGCCTTCGGTGGAGCTCCCTATGGGGGAAACGCTGCCCTGGGTGGGGGAACCGCATGCGAACACCCCCACTGGGGCCTTCGGTGGAGCTCCCTATGGGGCCACGAAACGCTGCCCTGGGTGGGGGAACCGCATGCGAACACCCCCACTGGGGCCTTCGGTGGAGCTCCCTATGGGGCTACGAAACGCGTGAGAGGTGTGCCGAGAGCAGAGGCAAGGAGGGGGAGGAGGAGGAGGAGAGGAGAGGAACGCGGGGCACCGTCTCTTCAAAACGAGGACCCAACACCACAGGATGGTTGGGAATGAAAATCAACGATTTTGGCATCTTGGGTTCTCTTCGGAGGCCTCTTGGAAGGCCCTTGGAGCGTCTTGGAGGCCTCTTGGGCTGTCTTGGGGCCATCTGGGGCGTCTTCGGGCGATCTTTGGCCGTCTCGGGCCTCTCTTGGACCGTCTAGAAAGCTTCTCGGGGCCCTCTTGGACCGATCTGGAGCCCTCTTGGACTCCGAAACAGAACTCCGGCATCTCTGACCCGACCTTGCCGGGGACTTGCCGGGGACTTGCCGGGGACCTTGCCGGGGTACTTTTCGCCCGGGGACCCCCAGGGGCCGCCCCCCGCGCGCGCGAACTAGAAATATTGTTAACCAGGTACCGGAGATCTTAGCACGCCCTGGCCCGTTGGGCCGGCGATTTTTTTTTTTTGTGTGTGTGTGTGTGTGTTGCAACGCCCTGTTCTGTCGTGATGCTCCTCTCCACTACTTCCGTTGCTGCATTCGAAAGTGTTCGACAATGTTCCAAGTGGTAAGGGTCTATCATGCTATGTTCTGTTATGATCGGTTATGTCCTCGACGGGCCAGCGTGACGTCGTGACGCTTGGGCGACGCCGTGGAGTGGTGGCTACTGTATAGGCGATGTTTCGCCATAGTGTGTTTGGTTGGATCCTGCCCCGATGAAGTATGGTAGACTGTGTTCGGTGATGTTGTGATCTTGACGGGCCAGTGTGACGTCGCGACGCCTGTCACTTCTCGACGGGCCGGCGTGACGTTGTGACGCGTGGAGTGGTGGCTACTGCATACGTGAAGATGTGCTATAGTGTGGGTGTGTGTGGTGTGTGTATATGTTTTGCTGTCGTGTTCTGTCGTGGTACTCCTCTCCACCACTGCACACTTGCCGTGTCTGAATTCCAAGAACGGTTCAACCGAGTTCCATGCAGTCACATTATTTCATGTTATGCTTTTGTATGTCCTAAAGGGTGTTTCCTACGGGCGGCGTGACGTCGTGACGCCTGTGACGTCAGATGCATCGTCTGTTATGAGGTTCCTCTTCACTGATCTGTGTCTCTTTTGATTGCGTATATCATGTTATGCTGATCTCTGTCACCATACGCTTTGAGATGTTACAGCGTGGTCTGCTCTTTGGCACTATGCCATGACATGATTTGTTATGTCAAAGTATGTTATAGTATGATATGTTCCGTGATGCTGTTGACAATTCTGTTCAGTATAGTAGATTAAGATCCGTGATGCTGTTGACAGCTCGACTTACTTAAAGGTGTGTTACGTTATGCTCGGTTATGTTATGTTATGTTGTGCTCTGCCGTCATCTGTTCTGTCATGTTCTGCTCTGGTATCGTATGTGACTTTATCTTTGTTGACGGCTCGGCTCTGTGTAGTATATTATGATATGCTCTTCTAATAGGTGTCGCTCTGTTCTGCTGTCGTGCTATGATGTGTTATGTGATGTTGTGCCATGATATGACATGTTCTGTTCAGGTGTGTTATGTCATGCTCGGTCATATTGTTTATGGTGTGCTCTGCCGTCTTCCGCTATGCCATGTTCTTCTTTGGTATGGTTTGTGATGTTATGTTATGCTCTAGTTTGTCATGATACTGCTGTGACATGTTATGTCATGATCTGTCATGCTCGAGTTATGTTCTGTCATGTTCGGTGGTGTCATGTTGTGTTCTGTCGTGTTCTTCAACGCTATGCTCTGCTGCCGTGCTATGATATGTTTTGTGATTCGCTGTCATGATATGATGTGTTATGTCAAGGTGTGTTATGTTCTGCTCGGTTATGTTCTCTTATAGTGTGTTCTGTTCTGTCGTCTTCTGTTCTGCCATGTTCTGCTCTGGTATGTTTCGGTATATTCTGCTTGTTGACGGCTCGGCTCTGAATAGTATATTATGATATGCTTTGCTAGTATGTGTCGTTATGATCTGTTGTCGTGTTATGATTTGTTCTGCGATGCTGTGTCATGATATGGTATATTATATCAAGGAATGTTAGATTGTGCTCGGTTCTGTTATGTTGTGTTTTGTCGTTTTTATCGAGGGCGCGAGGCGGGATCATCGGGACACATTGGGGTCTGGCGGCCGCGGTATGCAGGGTGGGGTTGGCCGGGCGCGAGGCGGGACACCTGGGACACTCGGGACTCTCGGGACAATTTAGGGTCTGGCGGCCGCGGTATGCAGGGTGGATCTTGAAACCTAGCAGCCCCAACCTGTTGGGTGTAGAACAAGTAAGAATCCCTTAGGCAGCGCCAAGCTGGGAAATAAAGTTTAAACAGCTTTATTGTCGCCATCACTTTGATTTTACTTCGAGTTACACATCAAGATCACTTCGACATCAAAATACATTCCGAACGATCCGTCGGAGCCCTGGGACCCATCCCTTTGGGGGTGAACGAAAAAACCCTCGACCCTGGATAATCTACTGCTTCTGGCCAGGTGCGTCCATACACCATCCCAGTGCCCAGGATGGTCCTGGCCAGGCATAGTAGTTGCGCATGTGCTTACTGCGTAATACAAGGACAAGGTGAACGAAGAGGTGCAGAAGACGCTGAAGGCCGCGGCTGTCAAGATCTTCACGGACGTGGCGGTGTGCCGGGCGAGCCCGCTGCCAAGCGCGCCCGCGAGCCCGAGGAGATCAAAGCCCTCCAGGTGGACGACGAGATCTGACCATCATGATCCAGAGGCATCCAGCCCTGCCCAGCTTCAGGCCTTCGTGCCACAGGGACCGTCCGGATATACTTTCGCCGCGTCGGTGGTGGAGAACGCGTCGTACGTGCTGTGCGTCACCCTCGGTGTAATCGGCTTCGTGACCCTGCTGCTCTCCACTTTGGCCGGCGTGAGGGGCGGGTTCCCCCTGATTCCTATGCGCGCTAATGAAATTCTGCTCGGTTTCCCACACAGCGCCGTGCCCTCTAGCGACGCTTTCGTGATGTGGTGCAGCACGTGTGATTTGCTTGAGGAAGGTGAGTTCCAGACGTATTACGATTCAGTGACGGGGGCGCTCACACACCTCCAGAGCACCACGGAATACTGCCGGGATCTCGAGTGGTGGGGGTTCAGTAAACCTGCGCAGGGCCTCGCTGGGAACGCATACTTTTCTGAGAGCAACGCTGCTTCGTTCGTAGACTTTCGGCTCGGTGATGAGCGCTGCAGGCCAGCAGTCCGGAGAGAGCTGAAGGCTCTGAGCGGGACCAGGGGGCACGTCACCTCGGCGCAGGGCAGTCCGGAGACGGCCGCAGCGGCGTCCAGGGAGGCAGAGATTCACGGGCTTACGCCGCACCGCCAGCCCTTTGGGGGCCAAGCTGTGGGATCAGCAACCAGCGACGTATCGGGAGCCTGTTGGGGGCCTCTTGGAGGCCTCTTGGGGGGCCCTTGGGGCTTCTTTGGGGCTTCTGGGTGGTCTCTGGGGCTATCTTGGCCTCAGGGCACATTCGCTTTTTGGGTTGTCTTGGGCCCCCCTCCCTCCAAGCAGGCCCCTGGTCGGGCTCTCGGGGGAGGGTTTGGGGAGGGGCAGTCATCTCACACGGTGAGGCACCCCAAGGGGTCGGCGAATGTGGACTTGCTGGCGCCACGTGTTGCTCGCGGCCCCGGTGTGTGCCCTGATCTTGTGGATGGCCGTGGGCAACGTCTACCGGGCCTTGACCCCCTTCCTTTGTGCTGGGCTGGGCTCGCCCTGCTCGCAGGCCGGGCCGCCGTCGGCGTCGTCAGGGCCGTTGTATTCGCAGAGTTGGACACGGGTTTCGACGAATCTCTCGCGATCTTCGTTCTCATGGCGCTGTGCGTCGACTACGCGCTCTTTTTTTGGTCGCGGTTCAATAAAGAGAGGGAGGCGTGCGCGGGGGTGGGGAGCTACAATGTGGCTGTGACTGCGGCGCTGCACAGGTCGGGCATGAGGATCCTCACAAGGAACTGCTTCGTGACAATGGCCTACGCCTGTACGATGCTGCTGCCACACATGAACTTGTGGGCTTACCTTGGGCTGTACATAGAATGCATCGTCGGCTGCGCGACCGCTGCGTTGTACAGTGTCACTGTGACTCCCGCGCTGGCAGTTGTTCTTCCTGAGATCTTCGACACAGTGGATTGCCCGCTGGACAATCGACAACACCAGCTGTGGTCTGGGCTCCCAGAGCCCGAGGCCTTCTGGAGGCGGTGGGCGGCGCGCATCACCACCTCCAGGCCCGTGATGTTCGCACCGCTGGTCGCCTATCCCTGCATGGCGTTGCTGATGTACCAGCTGATGCGCTACCAGCCCAGCTACGATGTGGAGGCCATGTCTCTGCGCGAGGACATCTTGGAGCCGCAGGCATATAGGCAGTTTCAAGACTGCTTTAACATAGGCATGATCAACCCGGTCACATAAGAAAAGCACGATTCCCGAACATACGTTTTCGCAGGTCCACGCGGACTTCTTTGGTCGGCGCTGAACCACCCTCCCCACTCCTCTCCCCTTGCGTGCGGAGTGCGCTGGGGGCGGCGTCAGGGGTGCCGACGGGCTGAGGGGAAGGTGGCCAAGTGCGGACCCAAGGCAGCCGAGCGGACCTCCCAACGTTGATGTTCTTCTTGTGTTCTGTCTGTCAGGTCAACCTCGTGCTGGAGGCCCACCCGCTGCCAGGGATTTCCTCGCCCAGCGCAGGGAGCGAGGCCGACGGTGACAAACAACGCATCCGTGAATTCAGTTTGTCTCCGAGGGTTCTTACTGTCTACTCGAGCTTGGGGACGCCAGGCCAGTGGGTGGAGCCAGACTGCTGCCAGACTCCACTTTCGGGACTGACTCTGACCGTCCGGATGCAATCCAGCTCCAGCTTGACTCCAGCTTGGCCCGGGTTCAGTTTCGCTCCAGCGCCAGCCCAAGCTCCACCCCCTGCTCCAGCTCCAGCCAAATCTCCAGCCCCAGCTTGGCTCCAGCCTCAGCTTCAGCCCTAGCTCCAGCTCCCACTGCAGCTTCAGATCTAGCTTAAGCTCTAGCCCGGTACCAGCTCCATCCAGCCCCAGACGGACTTCAGCTCTAGCTCTGGCTCCAAGCTCTAGCTCTGGCCCCAGCTTCAACTCCAGCAGAGATCTGGCTCCAGCTTCGGTCTAGCCCCAGGTCCAGCACCAGCTCCAGCCCCAGCTCCAGCTCCAGCTTCAGCTCCGCTCCAGCCCAGCTCCCAGATCAAGCTCTGGCCTCAGCTCCAGATCCAACTTCGGCTCCAACTCCAGCCCAGCTCCAGCCAGAGCTCCAGCTTCAGCTCCGCTCCAGCCCCATCTCCAGTTCTAGCCCGAGCTCCAGCTCCTACCGCAGAGTATTTCAAGCTTCAGCACCAGCTCTAGCCCCGGCTCTGGTGTCGTCGGTCCAGCTCCGAGGTCAGGAATCCGGAAAATCCGCGCCTCGCAAACATACCAGAATCCAGCCTGGGGCTCCTTTGGAGTGCAGGCGACAGACATATTCAAGTGGCTTACGCCATTCAACCGACCCCCGAGTGAGTGTTTGAGACGATCGTAGAAGATATATCTTGAGTCAAGAGACCCCTGGATGAATCTGAGGGTCTCTTGGGATGCCTCTCTGCGGCCTCTTGGAGATCTCTTGGGGACATCTGGAAGGCTTTTTGGGGCCTCGTTGGGGCTTCTGGAGGGCTTCTTGGGGCGTCTTGGGGGCCTCTTGGTGCCTCTTGGAGGGGCCTCGGGGGCTTTGGGGGGATCGAGGGACCATCTTGGTGGGAAAGGCTCTGGGGGGGACCCTGGGGGTGTTTTGGGGCCTTTTTGGGCCGTGTTGGGGCATTCTTGGAGGCATCATGGGCCGTCTTGGGACGATCTAGGGGGCCACTTGGGCCGTCGTCTTCGCTGTCAAAACGTAAAATGCGACTGCGCTGAACATGTACGTTTTCCCCAGCAATGGGATGAGTTTGGCCTCTTGGGGCCCTCTCGGCGATCCTCTGGAGGCGCTTTTGGGTTGTCTTGGGGGCCTCGTGGGCCAGCTTGAAGCCATCTTAGATCGTCGTGGGGCTACCCTGGGCCGTCATGGCGCTCTGTTCGACTATCTTGGCGCTCTCTCTGGGCCCTGTTGGGCTGACTTGGGGCTTTTTGGGGGCTGCGGAGGCCCCGGGGGTGCGTTGACGAGCTCGTACCCCCCCCTAAAGTTTTCATTTGGGACCCCGAGGGGCGGGGGAAAGGGGGAGAGGGACATCCACGTGTCTCACACGCCTCGTCACCCCCGACATGCGGGGGTCGGCGGACTAACGTGGTTCTGGTTTTTCCTGGGATCATGCGCCTGCTGTCTCTTTGCCTGGTATGTCGACCTTGTGCTGGAGGCCCACCAGCCGCCAAGGAGCTCATCGCCCAGCGCCACGAGTGAGGCCGACGCCGACGACGCCGACGACGCCGACGACCACGACGCCGCCGCCGCCGCCGCCGCCGCCGCAGACGACGACGACGACGACGATGACGACGACGACGACGACGACGACGACGACGACGACGACGACGACGACGACGACGACGACGACGAAGCGACGCCTGCCAGGCGGAGGCGGCACGCCTGGAGGAGGAGGAGGAGGTGGAGGAGGAGGAGGCGCTGGCCGCCCAGCGGCCCCGCCGGGAGCTGGCTAAGGGCGAGGCCGCGTCGGCCGCCGCCCAGCGGCGCCCCGACGCAGAGCGGCGGGGCCTTTCGGAGCCGCTGGGGCGTGCGGGGGCGGCAAGGCTGGCCCGGCAGACCGTTCTGGTGCAGCAGCGGCGGGCAGCGGTGGGGGAGCACGGCGGCGGCGGCGCGCGCGCTGGCCTGCTGCAGCTGGATGAGCGGGCCTCGCACGGGTCCGTGAAGGGCGCCGCGCGCGGCGCGAGGTCGGGGCCTGGCCAGGGCAGGGACGAGGGGCAGCCGATCACGTGGCAGGACGTGCTGCGCAGTGACCCCGCGAGCCCGCCGCTGGACCCCGCAGACCCGCTGCTGGCGCGGAGGCTAGCCGTGCCGAGGGACACCGAGGGGGCGCTGAGCTTCTGGAGGCGTCACAGGGAGACGGCAAAAAAGGGCGTCGCCAGGAGCACCAACGTGGCGCCAGCTCAGTGCGTGAGCCAGCAGGCGGCCCCCGGGGCCAGCCGGTTCGCGGGCGGCAGGGACGTCGCGTTCTCGTCGGAGTTCGGGAAGGAGGCGTGCGCGCTGGTAGGCTCGCTGCTGGCGGCCTCAGGCGGCACTGAGTGGCAGATAGACGGCGAGGACGTCCTCGGTCTGTGGTGGATGCCGAGGATGCTGAATCCGAGCAGGAGTGGCCCCGGCTTCCGGGTGGGCGGGGGCGAGGAGGGCGCTCCCGCCACGAAGTCTGGGAGCCTCATGCGCGACGAGCTGGTCGCGCGGGAGCTGCTGCAGAGGGTCCCGGAGGTCCTGAGGCAGAGCGTCTCGACCGACGGGAACAAGGTCCTGCTGAGGGTGGCCAGCAGGTTCCGGCCCTCGAGCCGGGCGGCCCACGAGCTCGACTCCTTCGTCCGCGTCCTGGAACGGGGCGACGTGGGGCACTTCGAGCTCGGCGGCAGGCGGTACGGCATGAGGCTAAGGCACCAGAGCCCCATGCAGGCCATCGTCGATGCCGACGGGGCGCTGCGGCAGGCTGCCCTGAGAATGTTCGGGCTCTTTGTGCCCGCGGTCGTCTTTGCCGCGGGCATGCGCTTCGGGTCGCCATTCTTGATGGCGAAGCTCGTGCTGACGGTCGTTTTGCCTATCTTGACTACCTACGGCCTCGCGATCTCGGTGTATCAGATGAACGTGTTGGGCTGGACCGGGATCACCATGCTCAAGGGCACCGGCGGCTTAGACTACCGGCTGGTTGCCATAACGGGGGGCGTCCTCTTCGGTTTCGCGATCGACTACGACCTCTTCCTGTTTGCCCGCGTCCGCGAGCTCCGCCTCGAGGGATACGACCCCAAGTCCGCTGTGCGGCGCGCTCTCGTTGAGACGGGGCCAGTCACGACCGCTGCTGGAGCAGTGATGTCATTCTCTTTTTTCTTCTTAGCAATGGCGCGCACGCCGTTTGTCCGCATCATGGGATCCATCCTACTCGTCGGTACTTTTTTGGATACTGTCCTGGTGCGTCTGGTACTGGCGCCGGCCATTCTTACCATCGCAGGGAGCGGCGCGCACTGGCCGCTCAAGATGCCCCCAGCGACGAAGGCGGACGAGGTCAGCCCGCCGAAGTAATTACTCATTTTGTCAGGGAAGCGCAGCACGCGCAGTTTGTTTGAAGGTAGAGTCGTTCTGCATGGCGGCGTTTGATTTGCAGTGTCGCCCGTGAGAACCTCCTCCTTCGCCTGATCTCTCTCCTCCTCTTCCCCACGGTGCTCCATTTCCTCTCCTTGTCCTCCTGCTGGTGCAGCGGTTCCTCCTCCTCTCACCTCGGTCTGCAAGCGGCTTTGGGTACTTGCGCACCCCCGTCATTAGCTTCCGGTCGAGCTCTTGTGCGGATCACCGAGTTCCGAGCTCCTTATCTTACCAGTCCCTCTTCCTCGCTCTCGCCCTTTGTGCACGCAGTATCTGTATCACGCGCGTGAAGTGGTGCTGACAACGGAGTTCAGGATCTACTAAACGAAACGTATGCAGGACGGAGCGCAGTGACAACCAGCAGACCTATCAGCCGCACTGCGCAACCCATACAGCAGTTGCGATTTACACACCAGTCCTCCGCACGTCTCGGACGAGAGCAGCAGGGGAAGTGCATCCCGTGAGGAGCGACGCTGGTCCTCACCTGACTCGGCTACTCCCCCATTCACCTCTTTTCTCTGGGGAGTGCCTCCCGCGAGGAGTGGCGCTGGTCCTCCCCGCATTGTCTGCTTCCCCCCTCTTCCCCCATGGCTTCACGCTGCGTGATGGCAGGCATCCAACTGTCACCTTGTCACACCGCTCAGTGGTGGACACGCCGGGCAAGCGTTCCTTCAGCTCCTTGACCTGCTGTCTTTGGGCCACGTTTGGCCGTCGTTGGCCTTTCTGGGCCCATCTTAGGATTCTATTGGGGTTGTCTTGAGGCAGTGCGTGGACCCCACTGGGCGCTCTTGTAGTCTTCTTCGGGAACACCTCTAGAGGCCATCTGAGAGTGTTCGGGGTCCCTCTTGGGCCGTCTTGGGGGCCACTTGGGCTGTCTTTGCCATTGGGAAGATCTTGGAGTCCTCTTGGGCCGTTTTGGACGCCATGAAATCCGAACAAGCGAGCATGCCCAAAGCAGGCGACAACCTAAGGAACATCAAGCTTGTCTCTCGGGAGCCGTTTGGGTCGTCTTGTGAGCCCCGTCAGGTCGTCTTGGCTGCCTCTTGGGCCGTCTGATGATCGTCTTGGCGCCATCTTGGGCCAGATCCGACCAGTCTTGGCCATCTTGGGGGCCCGTTCGGGCCTTCCAGGGGCCCTCTTGAATTGTCTTGGGGCCATCTGAGGGCCATCTGGGGCCGTCTCAGAGCCGCTCGGGGCGAGTTTGGGGCCCAAATGGACGGTGAGGCAAACGGTCGGCAGATTTGGCGCGGCCCGCAAAGGGGATCCGAGGGGGCAGTGACCGTATATTTACATTCCACTTTCTCGAGTGAATGCTTAGTGTATGTATTGCAGATGCGGTCTGGGATGCTACGCCCAAACATCGGCCCACATGGCATGACCCTCCGTCGCAGTCCAGCAGTGGATTCCTCTCGCTTCGTGCGTTGGGCGCTGTCTGGTTTGCCCTGCTTGTCTGCTATGCGGTTTTTCCCGTCTTGGAAACTTTGCGGGCCTTTCGGAGGTAATTTGGGTGCCTCTTGGAGGCTTCTTCGAGGCTCCTTCGGACATCTTGGAGGTGTCTTTGGGACCTCTGGGAGCTCTTGGGGCTATTTGGGAGGTGGAGGCTCGCAAGGCTGGCCTCGTGGGCTGTTTGGGGGCCCTCTTGGACCATCTTGGGGCCGTGCTGGGGCCCTCCTTGGTAGGGTCGGGGCAATCTTTAGAACCTCTTGGGCCTTCTTGCTCGAAAGGCGAGAACGTGACAACTCATCAAACACCGAATGAAACTCAATGAGTGTGCGCGTTCGGGAGTCCTATTAGAGGCCTCTTAGGACGTGTTTGGGAGTCTTTTGGGCCGTCTTGGGACTACCTTGCGCCATCTTGAGACCACCCTGGGGCCATACTGCTCCTCTTCGGGCATGTCCGGGCCCGTTTGGGGCTCCCCTTTGAGAGGCCGTCAAGGTTTGTTTTGGAGAATGGGCAAGTAAAACGACAAGGTCGCCAGCTAGGGCGGGAGCCCTGGGCCAGAATCAGGGGCTGCAAACTGCAGTTTGACAATTTATGGCAGGTGTCGGTAACGCAGTCCCTTTGACGTCCCGAGATCTGGCTCCTTTGACGCATCGTGGCTTGATCTTTGCGCCACGCACCCGTCTTTAGGACTGCCGAGACTCTTCGCTGCAGTCTGGACGTGGACACGCACCACTTCGTGGGGGACACGGCCAGACAAGCGTGCCGTCCGCTCCTGGACGTCTTGGTGGTCTGGGGTTGTAGACGACGATCAATGGAGAGGAAGCCTTTTTCCTCCCCAGGCGCGCCGCCAACACCAGCCATCTTGGCTCCAGGAGGGGTCGCTGGAGGGCACTCGCCGCGCGGGCGCGCGGCATGCGTCCGCCAGGATGCCCGCAGCCTGCCGCCCGAGGCCCGTCCACACGTGGGAGTGGCCCTTGGCCGGAGTGACCTCTGGTGCGCGGCCCTCGGGGGGTCGCTTCTGAGCGCGGGTAAGTCTGAGTTTGACTGGGCCAGAAACGGGTGGGCCTGAGCACGCCAAAGCCGAGTGTGAGTAGTCCGGGCAGGAGTGAGTCTGCGCGTGGGTGCGCAGGCCGCTACCGTCGCGTCCCACGCAAGGAACAGCAGGCCGCGCACCAAAGGCCACACGTTGCCCACGTGTCGGGTGCTGCCAGAAGTGCCCCTGGCCCCAGGTGCCCCCCAAGATTTCCAAGGAGGCCCCCACGGCCTCCAGAGCACCCCTCACGAGGCTCAGAGGGTCCCATGGGGCTCCAAACTGGAGCGAACTGCTGGGGGTACCTTGGGCCAGGGGCACCTTGGGCAACCCCCGAACATGGGGTCACCCGCTGCGTGCAGCCGGGAGGCCCTGCCGCGCCCTGGCCCTCGCGGCCCTGCTGGCGCTGCTGGGCCTGCTGGCGGGCGCCGCCCGCACGGCGGGCGCGGCGGGGCGGTGGGCCCAGCAGCTGCCCGCGCTGCGCGCAGCGAGCGCCGCGGAGCCGGAGCCCCAGACACCTGGCGGCTCGGCAGAATCCCAGACCTCGAACGCGTGAACAGAAGGAAGAACGGGAGTTCTTCTCAGATTTCGGCCTCTCAGGGCGCTCGCCGGGCCGAAAGTACGCGAGATGCAAAAAACGGGCCCTGGGGAAAAGGTCGGGACTTACGGGGACCCCGTATTCAAAACATCAAGACATGCTAGAGCCCCAGACTCATGGGCAACGTTCGGGGTGGATAGGGGATGGGCTCAGGGGGGGTGCATCGACCCCCAATCGCCCATTCATCGCCGATAAGGGGCCCGTTAGCGCGAACCCGCCCAGGAGCGAGCGGGTTTGCTATCCGGGCGCATCGGCGATCTATCGGCGATGTGTCGCCGATTCCACCTCGATGTTTCCCCCCTGAGCTGGTCCCCCCCCCCAACGTTGCCTCTCACTCCACACCCGGCGGCTCGATCTGGTCGAGACTCCAGGATCGAGGGCCTTGGTCGCTTCTGCGGCTGCTCCCGACCAGGGTTTCTTCCCGCCGCGGCCTGGTCCGCCTCGAAGTTCTGGCCGCAGCGAGCCCCTGGAAGCGGCCAGGGGGGCCGACATTCGAGGCCCAGACTCGACGAAACCGTGACTCGAGGATCGAGGCTCCCAGGGGTCTGAGCGGCTGCCCGCCACGGAGGGGCGGCCGGCGGCGCGCTGCCCCAGACATCCGAGGATCCCCCTTGGGCCCTGAGCGTCGCAGCTGTTTTGCTCCGGGCGTGTTCGCCCTGTCTGGGGCCCCCTGGGACCCTCGCGGGGTCGATCCAGCTCGAGGGGCGCAGCAGAAGCATGAGGCCGAGGGCTCTGGATCGTGACATGGCATGGCGTGTTTTTTTGCAGGGCTGGACCTAAGCGCTGTTCTTCTGGACTTCGGCTTTGTTTTTTGCTTTCTTTTGGCAGGGAGGTAAAGGAAAACGGGTAGAGCAAAACGAACAACAAAACGAAAACAACACGAACAGCAACGCTTAGGTCCAGCCCTGTTTTTTGTGTCGTGTCGTGGGATCTTCGGTACATCGGGGCTCGAGGATGGAGCCGTTTCTTGTTTTTCCATGTGCGTTGCCAGATGGGGCCTTGGCCTTGCCCGTGGTGGCCCTCGCTTCGCCAGGGAGGCCCCGATGGCTCACAGAGCACCCCTCACGGACTCACTTTTTTGGCGTCGCGGCCCCGCGCGCAGCGCCGCGCAGCGCCGCGGCGTGTCAAAGTGCGGAGACGAGCGCGCGCGGGCCAAGCTCACGCAGCAGGGAGACGCTGGATCCACTCATAGTGGATTGACAACGTGACTTACGGGGGGGCCGCCGTGAGGCCGCGAGGGGACAGGTAAGGGAAAAGGGGGGAAAACGAATAAGGAGAGAAGGGGTATGACGAAGCAGTGCGACAGGGCTCTCACGGGCTCACGAAGCCTGGAAGGCCCCATGCAGGGGCCCCAACATCGCGCGAAAAGTTTGGGGCACCCTGGGCCAGGATTTGTGTTTTGCAGCCGTAGATCCTGGGGTCTCTCTGGGCCTCCAGTGGTCTCCTCGTCCCCGCGGCCCGGTCCGCCGGTCCTCCGTATCCTCCCCACTGGTGTGCAGGTCTGCGAGACAGGCGTTGCCGTCAGCCACGGGCTGCGGAGAAGGAGCGCACGGGGCGCCGCCCCAGCTGGCTTCCAAGATGTGCTCTGTGCTCCGCTCCTCCCGGTGCTCGCCCGGGTCCACGGTTTCGGCGTGGATCACCGGTTGCCTTCAGGAATGCCCATTCTTGTTCGGATCCGCAGATGCAGGCCTGGGTTGCGCCCTTGTTTCAACGGGCGCTGCGTTGCCGAGACAAGATCTGTTCTACAGAGGTTCTTCAGCGTGCTTGGCAAGTGCAGACTCAGAAGGTCTAATTTTTCGGAGCGTCCGTGGAGTAAGGTGGTGACACGCACTACTTGGAACACGTTGCTCTCCGTTGAAGCCCTCAAGCAGACCGCGCCATCCGCCTTCGCCTTTAGATCCGACTTGGGTGACGTCTTGAACTTTAGGACATTCGCGCCATCGACGATCAGGGAGTTGGGATATGCAGCAAACCTACGACGGCTGTGGTAGTCTTGGCTGCTCAGCCGCACCCTGCTGATGACCTCGCCATGGCTTCCAAGGAGCTCATGGGGTACTGGATCTAGCCCATCGTTAACCTCCCTAGGCGATATCAAAATGAGGAGTGGGGAACGATGCGAGCGATCATGAGTTTGGAGGGGAAGAGCCTCAACGAAGTACGACTTGGGCCCTCTTGGTCAATGAGGCGGCCATGCTCCATGCTGTCGTCAAAGGTGGCATGTAGTCTCCTGCTCGACTGGAGTTCTTACACATTAATTGCGAAGTGTTTTGATTGAGTTGGGAGGATGCAGCTCGCATCGCTTGACTTGGAATTGTCCTGGCAACAACGATGTTCGCTCGTCGGCGCTTGGCCCCTTGGATGAGCGAGGGCTGCCGCCGCGAGTTGGCTTGTGGTTCTGGGATCGGAGACTGTGTCCGCGTAGCTGTTTTCCACCCTTGCCGAGAGAGGGCGACTCAGTCAGATGGGTGGTGAGACATGGCCTGGCGGATTTCCTCACGGGGACCATATATTCTGATGGTGCCTGCGAGCGTTTCTGATATTGGCTCGAGGCGGCCAGAGTTGGATGGGGGTTCGCTAAGCTAGTGGACGGACAGATGGGTGTTTTGGCGTACGGAACATTTCTCGGGCCCTTGCAGTCTTTTCTGAGGTCTGGGTTAGGCGCGTTTCTTTGGGTTTTCCAGATACCTGTGCTTCCCATGCGTGTGTATTCTGATTTCAAGGGCCTCATCGAAGGCCTTCGTCGGGCTCCCCAATGGTGTCGTCACCCTCAGGGGCCCAATGTTGACCTTTGGGCGTCCGTAAAGATTGCGGACCTAGGAGGCCTTAGAGATGCCTGGTAGGTTCGGCACATTCGAGGGCACCGGATGGGTGATGACCTCCATGTGAAGGGGGATCCGACGGGCCGATGTTGGCGCGATTGCTAGGCGTGACCTTCCTTCGGTTCCCCGTCATCACGCCACTGCCATGCGAATAGCTCCCAAGTCAGTTCGTCAGCTTTTGAAGTGGCAGGTTCAATCATACATGAGTTTTCCGTCGCACGGGAGGATACTTTTACAGGCGCAGGCGGCAGAGGCCCAGGGCTCACAACACCTCTTCGGGTCCGCCGCCGCCCCCGCCGTCGTATGAGCTAAGGCATTTTTTGTGTGTTAAGTTTCTGACAAGCCGTACTGGAGATGTTCTTGGCCCCAGAGACCCCATTGGATCTGGGATTGCTGCTGAGCCCATCGATCCTCTTCCTGGTGGCTGGGTGGGGGATGGTGAGAGAGCCCAGCATAAACGCCCAATCGGGGATCTGGGCCCTGGGCTCGGGGGCGTCTCTGGGTCCGAGGGTCCTGGTCGGTGCGTCCGACACAGAGTCACCTTGGCCCCAACTCGACAAGTGTTCTCGCCGGATGACGAGGTGTTCGTGAGTGTTCAAGTTGCTGCGGAGAGGACCCAAGAGGAGACTGCCTGGCCGGCCTCCTTTGGCTGCCGCGACCAGTCCCGTTGCGACGCTGCCTGCGTCTGGTCTTGTGGGGCACCTCTGTGCCATAGGCCACCGACGTTGGGTCTCCTCGGGGCAAGTCGTCCTTTTACACTCGATGTTTTTCAGTACATGGCTTGCTGGCCACTTCTTGATTTGAGCTCCCTTCGATGTTTGTTGAGAGCGGTCACCATGCTGACGAGGGGAAGGTCGGGAGCCGCCTGATTCCCACCCGCTGCGCCCTTCTCGTCTCCGACCCAGAGGTCGCGTGGCTTCGGTTGGGGGTGGGGGTACCCTCGAGTTGAACTTGTGTATTTTCCATTGTCACTGGGCCACCTTCCTTGGTGCGGCCCTGGGTTGAAGTGGCGCGGCCTAGGACTCCAGAAGGATGAGGATTGAGACTTCGTTGCGCTGCTCCATCTGTGGGGCGGCCGGCTGTCGGTCCGAGCGTCGGCGAGCGGCGCGCGCCCGCGCGCTCCCGCCGCCTTGTGCTTCGAACTGCAGGATTGCCGCCGCCGCTCCGCCTTTTAGCTTCCCGCCCCCGCCCCAACCTGCGATCCTCCTGGTGGGCTTGTGGGCGGTCTTTTGGGAGGGCAGGGGTTGACCTTCTCCCCCCCTCCTCCTCCTCCTCCTCCTCCTCCTCCTCCTCCTCCTCCAACTCCTTGCCCCCCGCCTCCTCCTCCTCCTTCTCTCCATCCTCCTCCTCCTCTTCCTCCTCCTCCTTCCCCTCCTCCTTCTTCTTCTCCTACTCCATCCTCCCTTTTCTCTCTTCCCTCCTCCTTCCTCTTTCCTCCTCCTCCTCTTCGAAATTCTGGTCAGAGAGAGCTGCCGTGGCCTTCATCACACAGACGTCTGTCAAGACGTGGGTGCCTGTAGCTCTCGACCCGTTCCTTGGGATCGATCGGCTTGTCGTCCCGGGTGTTTGACAACGGCCTTCAGAGGCCCGAGCTTGCGAAAGGCCAGCTGTTCCTTTTTTGTCCAAGCCTCTGGATGACCTGGTGTCCAGGGTGCTCAGATTCAGACCAGGGCGGCCTGCTCTTGGGGGCGGATCTCGAGGCTGATCGGGCCGTTGGGGCGATTCGAACGCCCCAGGGGACGCCCAACGAGAGGCCCACAAGCCTTGTAGCGCTGGCGGTTCGCACAGCGCGGCCGGATCCCACGCAGGAACGCCGCAAGGCGAATGGCACACAAACGGGCGGGGGACAGAATCAGGGGCAGCGTTAGAGGGGGATAGGGGTGTGTGTGTGTGTGTGTGTGTGTGTGTGTGTGTGTGTGGACCCCCTATTGCCCATTGATCGTCGATGGGGGCCCGATAGCCCGCCCCACCCAAGAGCGTGCGGATCTGGTATCGAGAGCCCATTGCCGATCTGTCGGCGATGTATCACCAATTCCATCCCTATGTTTCTCCCCCCGTGGGCTGGCCCCACCCCATCGTCGCCCCTCAGGAGAGGGTGGCAGACGCCCCCAGAAACGTGCAGACCCTGGCATGTCGGTGTGTCGTCCAGCTGTCCCCGCAAGGCTGGGCGCCGCTGGCCCCAGGCGCCCGCGCCGGGGGTGGGCGGCCGCGCGCCGCCGTGGGGCCAGCGCGGTCGCCGTGGGCGAGCGGGGGCGGCCCCGGGCCCGAGTGCCCCCAGGCCACCGGCGCTGGACTGCCCGAGGACGCCGTGCTGCCGCGGCCGCGGTGGCTGCTGAACGAGGACATCGAGGAGAACGGTTCGAGGTTCGAGGGTCCCCCAGATCTGGGCGTCGCCGCCAAACCCGCGACGTCTTTTTCGTGAGCGTTTTCGGGCTCTGGAGGCCGTTTCCCGGCTCCAGGGCCGTTGAAAAAAGCAAATCAGGGCGAACCGCCGTCCCTGGGGAGGGTCGAGATCCTGGGGGGCCACGTCACGAAGGAACTGCGCCGTCGGAGGAGAAAATGAGATCTTTTTGGGTGCTTTCCGTCGTCTGTTAGCCTCCAGGGAGCTTCCGGTAGCCACGGCTGGAACCGCATCGAAATCCTGGCCAGAACGGGCTGCTGAACGGGTCAGGAGGTTGTCGTTGAACCGCGAACCCAGCCTTCCACCGGCTCGCAAAGATCGGAACGGCCATCCGTGTGCAGTTTTAGTCTTCTGGAGGCCAGTTTCGGATTTCCGCCACCCCACCGGCCATGGTAAGGTCTAGTGGTCTGGTGGTCCAGGAGCCTTTCCCTGTCAGAAGTTGAGCCGGCGGATGTCTTTGGCTGGGAGCGAGGACAGGCTGGCGGCGGCAGGCGCTGCAGGACCGCCCGGGGCCGGCGGCGCCGACAGGATTCTGTTGGCGCAGCCCGTCCTCCTGGACCGGGGCCTCCACGACTGGGGGCAGCAGGAGCTCTGGGGCAGCGTTTGGGGGATCTGCTCAGGGGGCGATGCATCGACCCCCATCGCACATTTAATCTCCGATAAGGGGACTGATGGCCCACTCCGTCCAGGAACTTGTGGATTCGCCATCTGGGGCCCATCGCCGATATATCCGCGATGTATCGCCAGTTCCAGCTCGATGTCCCCCATCCCCCCTGAGCCAGTCCCCCGCCCCGTTCCGCCTCAGGAGCCAGGCGGGCCGGTCGAGCGGCCGGGGTGGCTCCGCGCTGTGCTGTCGAGCAACCGCGCGCAGGCGCAGAGGCACGGCCACACGATGGTCCTTCGCTGGAGGCCCGTCTTGATGACGCCCCACCGTCTGGCGGGCCACTGCAACGGGACGGAGGCAGGGAGGATGCGAGACCAGTGCCAGGGCAGGCTTGAGCGCGAGAATTTCAATTGGGAGAAAGAGCGGATGATGCTCGACTACCTCAGGATCGGGGTCCAGTTGTCCAGATGCCTGCGGGGAATCCGCCACCGTGCCAGCGAAGCACTCTGCGTGGCGAGGCGACCCTTCGAGTACCGCCCAGAAGGCCGTCACATGTGACACCTCCTCGTCTCCACTTCTTGAGCGCCCATGGCTCTTATTTGGACCGTCTTGGGGCTGTCTTAGGCTCCTGTGAGGTAGTCTTGGAGGTCCCTTGTGGCCCTCTTCTGTCTGTTGGGGCTCGCTCGGGCCTTCTGGGAGGCGTCTTGGGCCGTCTTGCGGCAATTTCGGCCCTTGGGAGCAGTCGTAGGGCCGTCTTGGGGCCACGTTGGCCGTCGATGGGGTCTCTGGGGGCCGTCGTGAGGCCGTGTTGGAGCCCTCTTGGGCCATCTTTAGGCTTTCTTAGGCCCTCCTCGGCCAGCTTGGGACTCTTGAGGCCGTCTTGGGCCGTCTAGGGGCCCTCTTGGGGCTCTCAGTGGGCCCCCTTGGGCTTTCGAAGACCGCACGCGGAGCGATGTTCGACCGTTGATGGAAAGCGAAACACATAACAATTATGCTGATGGAGTGGTTTCAAGTGGGTGGGTCGCGCGCACGAGAATGCGGAAGAAACATGGGCAGGATGACGTAACGTTGTTTCTCGGTCCTTTCTCCTCCTCTACGCCTTCCTTTTGGCGGGGCCAGATGACACTGAGTGGGAAAAACACGAAACACACAACGGTGCGCCGATGCCTGCCGCGGTCTTCTGAAGGTTTAGCTGACATCGGTGGGGCTGATGGGGTGGAAATGAGCACGCAATTTGACCCCGATGCCTGCCGCGGTCTGGCGGGGTCTCCATGGAGCGTCAGCAGATGGCGCTGACGGGACTGGTGGAGTGGTAAGGGCATGAACCTTGATACACAGCATGATGCTCCAATGCCTGCCGACGCGCCGGGAATAACACTGTTGTTCGATGCCTGCCGCGATCTCGCGGGGCCTCCCTTCAGCCACGCGCGGAAGGGGGTGGGGGGAGGGGGGAGGGCTTCTTAGAAGCGCCCCTGCTTCTTAGAAGGCGCAGGCCTTATCTGCTGTAGATGTAAGGCCGGCGCCTTCTAAGAAGCAGCCTCCTTCTAAGAAGCCCTCCCCCCTCCCTCCACCCCCTTGTGCGCGCCGCCAATCCCTGCAGGATCAGACAGCATTTGCGGGATTGATGGGGTGGGAAGGGCACGGGACTTGGTGAAAAACACTGTTTTCCAATGCTTGCCACGATTTGGCGGGGCTTAACAGTAGGGTCAGACGGCACGGGCGGGACTGGTGGAGTAGGAAGGGCACGACACCTTATCACCAGCGCGGCTTTCCGATGCCTCCGGCGGTATGGTGGGGCCTCCCTGGAGGGAGAGACGGCACTGGTGGGACTGGCGGAATGGGACGGACACGAATTGGTGGGATTGGTGGAGTGGGAAGGGCACACCACCTGAGGAGGAGGAGGAGGAGGAGGAGGAGAAGGAGGAGGAGGAGGAGGAGGAGGAGGAGGAGAAGGAGGAGGAGGAGGAGGGGGAGGAGGAGAGAGGAGGAGGAGGAGGAGGAGGAGGAGGAGGAGGAGGAGGGGAGAAGGAAGGGACTGGTGGAGTGGGAAGGGCACGAAACTTCTCGAGGAGGGGACGATGAGGAGCATGGGGAGGGGGAGTAGGAGGAGGAGGAGGAGGAGGAGGAGGAGGAGGAGGAGGAGATGGAGGAGGAGGAGGAGGAGGCAACGATGTTGGGATACACCCTCCCTCCAAGCGCCCTCTTCAGAGGCCACATACAAGGATTCACTCCCACTTAGGGAAGTGCCCCGTTTGGAGACAGCCGTGAGAAAATCTTGAAGCGTGCCAACACACCATTCTCATACATTCAACGCCACAAGTCAACTGACTGTTGCGTCTTGACGACCTTGAATTGTCCCAGAACACCGTTCCTGAACTTCAACACCGCGAACCAGCGTCATTGTTGCGCCCTAACAACCCCGGATCATTCGACAACTTTTGAGAAAAAAAGGTTCACCATTAGAATCCGCGGGAGTCTTGCTGCATTGCAAAACGGATGTGCGCGGCGCTCAGACGAGAGCCACAGTTTGTAAAGGAAACGCCGTCGGTCCGTGACATGTTTTGTACACGGTTGAGACGAATGTGCGCGGCGTTCAGGCGAGAGCCACATGTTTAAAACGACCCGCCTTGAATCCGTGAAGCTCTTGCAAAGTTTTACGACGAATGTGCGCGGCGCTCAGGCGAGAGCCACATGTTTAAAATGACCCGCCTTGAATCCGTGAAGCTCTTGCAAAGTTTTACGACGAATGTGCGCGGCGCTCAGGCGAGAGCCACATTGTGAAAACGGCCCGCCTTCAATCCGTGAAGCTCTCGCACAGTTTTACGACGAATGTGCGCGGCGCTCAGGCGAGAGCCACATTTTGAAAACCACCCGCCCTCAATCCGTGAAGCTTCTGCACATGTTTAAGACGAGTGTCCGCGGCGCTGTGGTGAGAGCCACATTTTGGAAGCGACACGCCCTCAATATGTGAAGCCGTTGCCAGCTTCTAAGCTTTAGGTTCCTAATGATAATGAAGTCTCAGGCGAAACGCCCGGCCCGCCCTTCCGACCAGTCTCGGGGTGCGACAGGGAGGAGTTATTCACAAGCTATGTGCGCTCGCGTCATATCTGACGTCCTACCCCACCCTCCCATCCCTTACCATGGCGCCGATTTTCTCTATCCGCGGACGCGTGTCGCAGCGGACCTGTGGCTCGGCGCGCGCGTGCTTAGTGGGTGGTGGTGCGCGTGCGTGCGTGCGTGTGTGCGTGGTTGTGGTTGTGGTGGTGGTGGTTGTGTGTGTGTGTGTGTGTGCGTGTGTGCGCGTGTGCTGTGGTGTGACGTGGTGTGGCGTCTTGGTGGTTTGGTGGTGGGCCAGGTGCGTGCGTGCGTGATGGCGGTGGTGGTGGTGGCGGTGGTGGTGGTGTGGTGGTGTGTGTGCGTGTGTGTGTGTGTGTGTTTGTGTGTGTGCGTGTATGTGTGTGCGTGCGTGCGTGCGTGCGTGCGTGCGTGCGTGCGTGCGCGTGTGTCTGTGTGCGCGCGCGTGTGATGTGGTGTGACGCGGTGTAGCGTGGTGGTGGTGGGTGGGGTAGTGGTGGTGGTGGCGGTGGCGGTGGTGGTGCGCGTGCGTGCGTGCGTGCGTGCGTTGGTGGGTGGAAGTGGCGGTGGGCGGGGCGGGGCGCGGTGCGGTGGTGGCGGGCGGATGGGCGCGCGAGAAAGAGGCCCGCGCTGGGGCGAGAACGCCATCCTGAACGACGAAAGCAAAACACCGATCCGAAAATGAGGCCCACGCTGCAGCGGGAGCACGATTCGGAACGAGCGGAAGCCCGAAAATGAGGCCGGCGCCTCAGCGAGAGCAGCATTTTTGAAAAAAGCCAAAGCGAAAACCCAACTCCGGGAAGTCCTGTGTGTAAAAAACAGTACGCGGAGGGGTGCCCGCTATCTTCCGCACGCCATCAGGGGATGGATGAGAGTGTATTCATATTGAGTAATTGTTTAGGAAAAGGAAATGAGGAGGAGGAGGAATAAGGAGGAGTAATCATATTACGTTGTGGGAAAGCGAGAACACCGCTTAGAATGTGGCTCCGGGCAAATTGTGGTGTTTGTCTTCTCGAGGCCATGTTGGCTTTCTTGGCCGTCGTGGGAATCACCTTGGAGAGCCCAGGAGAGCCACAAGGATGCGTCGGGCTGGCCGGAGAACCTCAGGAGGGGGGGCTGGTGCATGCAGCACTCCGTAATGACCGGGGGGGAGGGGGTAGAATATTACAGAAACCATGCCTGACAGCACTTCACAGCCTACCACGCCTCAGCATGCCAATGGGGCACGATGGCGGATACACCGACACCGATCCTGGCCAGGCCCATCCTTGTTTCAGGATTGGTGAGTGCGCCCTCGAAGCCGAACCAGGAAGGCGAACTGACCGAGCCTGGGTCCAGGATTGGCCTTGCTCCCCACGAGGTCCGACGCCGTGAAGACATGGCCACCGCAGTGACAGGTCACGGCCGGAGCCCTCCACCCCGCCTCTCTGCGGCAGTTCCCGAGCGGGACCGCGGCTTGAGGGCCCGGGGGCCGGGAACGAAGCAGCAGCCGCCAGGCCTACGGCTGCCTGGCCGGCGCGGCGTTGGACGGGCCGGGGCGCACAGTGGGGTGGGCAAAGGGAGAGGTGCGCCTGGCATGCGCGGGCAGTCGAGGCAGCGGCGGCCCTCCCTGGCGCTTCTGTCGTTCGTCTTGATGTCTTCCGCAGCGGCCAGATCTCAGGGCCAGGTCGGCGTCGGCGCGGCTGGCGTCCTCCAGGAGCCCGCAGAACTTCTCGCACGTCCTGGTGCTCGACGCCGACGCGGCCCTGGTGCATCCGGAGAGGGACACGCTCTCGGCGATGTCGGCCGAGCTGAGGTCGCGGGAGAGCGAGACGAGAGTTCCGAGGCGGCAGGTTCTCCATCACCTCCGCCTGGGGGATCCGTCTTCGTGGACTTCGGCAGGCAGTGGATGTACACAAATTCGGGCCCCCTGAGGCCAGAATATACCCATCTCCACCGCCCGCTGGGGCCCCAGGACGTCGGATTCCCAGGCGGTGATCTGGATATATCCCCGCTTCAAGAGAGAGACACCCAGACCTTCGACGTCGTAGCATCTGCACCCCAGTTGTTTGTGTGCGATATCTGGCTCCAGGGCGTGAGGGGGAGTGGGAGGGGCGTTCGGGCCGAGGGCAGCGAAGAAACAGCCGCGGCACGAGTAGCAGCGGCTTCGGGGAAGGGAGTAGGGAGGATTACAGGGCGGCGGCGACTCGAAGAAAAGAGAGGGTCAACGGGGGTCTGGGTAAGTAGAGATTCGGCCTCCACATCCTCCCCTCCTTTGCCCCATGCTCTTCCCCCTCCCCTCCATCCTCCCTAGACCCCTCCCCCTAATCTTGGCGATTCTGGCAAGCATGCTGCCTTCTCATATTCTCGCTGGTCTCACGTCTCCGCTTGCGGGCTTCTAAAGTCGAGTTCAAAGGCTCTGCGCTCGCCTCGCGAAGTTGCTTGGTGCTGGGTCTCTGACATGTCCACTTCCTTGTGCTCCTCCGAGCAGCCTCCCTCGACCCCCCCCCTATCCCCCCTCTCTTCTTCGCCCTCCTCTCCCCCTTCCCCCCTGCCCACGCCCCCAGGGCCCAGTCAGGGCCCCATGTCGGCCGAGAGTGTCCCAAAGCCGACGCGACGTGTTTCACGACGCGTGGGGCCTGGGTCCCTCCCGCCCTCGGGTTCCCCCCGATGCCGCGCGGCCGGGCTTCTCCCCGATGCCGCGCGGCCCCCGGCCGCCCGCCATCCGGCCCCGCCAGGGCGGCGGGGAAGCCGCTGCTCTTGACTGACGAAGACTGGCCCCGGCCTCGGCGGTCCCGCGGGCCGCGCTGCGGGTGCGGCTCTCGATCGTAGCGGCCGTGAGATGATCGCTCGATGACGTCTGCAGCGCTGGCCGCTCTCGGCACGATGGAGAGGATCTCAGAGGCAACGGGTCCTGGACTGTCTTCGCCGTCTTTGCAGCTCCCGGGAGGGAGTGTCAGACAGCGCCGGGAGGGCTCTCCTCTTCCTCCTCCCTTTTCTTGGGTGGTTTTTGGCAGCCACGCTGCCCACTCTATCTCGTGCCATTTTCTCATGCTTTGTTAGGCGCGCTCTTGGAGGCAAGGTCAGAGGCTCGGGCATGGTTCACATCGTTGTGTGGTCGCCGGGATATCCGCTCCCATTGCTCCTGCTCCCAGAAACACAAGCCCAGGAACGGGCGAACTTGATCCAGAGGATTCCAGGGCGCTCTGAACGCTGGAACGGCAGTGGCGCCCGATATTTGAACCGCTGGATCTCAGAGATCGCCGATTCACCCCGATCCGACTTTGGACTTTGTCCCGTTCCTGGCTTCGCCTTGGAATGGGAGGTGGGTGAGAAAGACGGTCGCTGCCACCCCTGATTGCAGTGCGGCCGTGGCCGTTATACATCGAGAAGTTGGCCTGCCAGCAGTTGCCCCACGGAGATGCTGTCTCCCGACTGCCCCCAGGACCCGCAGAAGCCTTGGGATAGCTCATCTGAGGCGTTCAAGGATCAACGACAGATATGCTCCTGGCACGCGTATGCCATGAGCTCTTGTCGTGTGTGGGCGCTTGCCAACACGTCGGTCGATTCCCGCCAAATTGGCATGTTGCGATCAGCATTTCGGGGGAACGCACCGGTTTCGGCACCGCCCAGGGCCCAGGATCGGGTCGGACGAAGGGCAGGGGGTACGACATCTGCTGGGTGCAGCTGGTTTCGTCTCCGCCGTCCGGCGCTTCCCTCGATATAACCTTGGCGCCTCCGGCGCCAGAAGGCGGTGTGGAAATCAGCTACGCGAGCTGATTCGCTGACCCCCTACCCTACACGAGGGGCTCCAGACCACCGTGTTCCCAGCTCGCCCCTCGGCAAATAGCGCCGGCGGCGAACACCTACACCCGCGAGCACGGGACCGGCGCGCGGAGATTGCGCGCGCGCGGAACGGGAGTGCGCGGCACCCCGCGTTCCCAGACATCCGACGTCGAGATGTTTTCTCACAGCGAGGTCCCCCAGAGGTCCCGAGTCACTTTCTGACGGCCCCAGGGCTCCATAAGGGCCCACGGAGGCCGGAACTGACCCAAAATTCTTCCGCCGTGGTTTGTTCGCGACGCGGGGAGGTTTTGCCCCCCTCAATCATAATTGCCCGCGCGTTTTCTCCTGTCGCTGCCTGTTTCGGGCCTGGGTCGGCTGCCCTTGGGGCGCCGCCTAATATCTGCAGATCGCCTTTGCTTTCTCTTCATGCTTGGACAACTCTGTCAACTGTCATCGATTGTTGCTCCTCCTCGCCCGGCCCGTTGAAAAAACAAATGCCCAGGCTTGCAGGGGGGGGCACGTGGAAACCTGTGTCTTGCCCGCGGCGATTCGGGCCCGCGCGCGGCTGGGCAGAGCGCGCGGATCGGTTGGCCCGCCACCTTCGTCGGGCGGGGCTAGGACCAGGACAACTCGCTCCGGAGCGTTCCGGAACCCTCTTATGAGCGTCCCGGAGCGCTCTATAGAACGGCCGCAGCGCCCAAGACATCCTTCAGAACCGCTGGATTTCGGAGATTCTATGTTGGCGCGCCACTTTCGGCGAGCGCTCGAGGTCTGGGAAGGGCCGCGGGCGCATCAACGGTGGCCTGCTCTTCGCGGAGAACTCCCACTTTACGCGGGAGCTGTTCGAGGACCCTTTTCGGGCGGGCGTTCTTCCTCCGCTTCCTCTTCCTCCTCCTCCTCCTCCTCCGTGGACACCTCCTTCTCCTCCTCCTCCTCCTCCCTCCTCCTCATCTTCCTTGCGTCTTCTTGCGTGTTCTTGCGTGTGGCGGTTCTTGCGTGTGGCTGTTCTTGCGTGTGCTTCGGCGTGGAGGTTTGCGGCCCACACATATGGCTCCACGGTTCGGCTAATCTGTTTTGACCTCGGGGAATCTGCAGTATGGAATGGGCCCCGGGTAAGATACCTTCGCCAGGAATGAAGCCCTCCGAGACGGCAGCGGCAACAGAGTAAGTATCGCACAGCTTCTCGTCTCGGTCCTGGACTGCGTGGCGCGCTATTCGCTTCGCTTAGACAATCTACGCGAAGCCGTATAAGCTGGCACAGAGGAAGTAGCTGCCGCTGCGGTCGCCTCCAGCCGCCCGAGGCCCCAGCGTGCGTTCGCCCAGGCCCACACTCACCTCACCTTTCCCGACGACCTCCCCCTTCTCTCCCTTCGAACGTTGAGGGCCTGGTTCCCTGAGGTGCCCCTTCCCCTCCAGGGGACATGGCCCATCGTTGGGCCTTGCTCCGTAGTGTGCTCTCCCGGTCCAAGCCCAGCTGGGCTTGGGCCCACATCAAGACTCGCAGGGGGATGGGTCACCTCAGGCCGAAAGCCCGCTCTGGGCCAGCGAGGATGGTCTCGATCGGTGGCCTCACTACTTGGTCTGCCCATGTCTCCTCCGCCTTCTCGCCATGCCCTCTGGCCCGTCTCGGCCTCGGCCCACATTCTGATTCCCAGGTCACCCGAGAGACCACTCATTGCCTAGTTGTGGTAGGTTTTTACTTTTACCACAAGCTCAAGGCAGAGCACGAGGCCTCGCTCTCGCGTTGATGCGACCTTGAAGCCCACCTGAGGCTCTTGAGATCAGCGAAGCTGGCCATCGGCGCCCGCTAATCCGAAGCACGCGTTGCCCCCATGCTACGTGCGTTCCTGATCATCCTCCTCATCTTGCTCTTCATCCTGTAGGAACGCTGTGCCTCCTCCTCCCCATCATCTTTGCCAAGCGCACTGCTCTGGACAATGTCAAGCAGTCTTTCACCGACTGGATTACCGAGGTCGGCGTCGCCGCGAAGCACTTCGCCACCAACTCCCCAGAGGCCATCAGCCGCAGCTTCACTATCGAGTTTAGCGGCGCCATAGGTCCCGCGGCGAGGCGTGCCAATCAATTTCTCAATGCTCAACGTTTCGGCCCTGGGCAGTGGAAGCGCTTCGAAGCTACTGCGGCGGACGGGCTGCCCACAGCGTTGCGTATCGGTCCCGGCAAAAACCCTCGGCAGATTCGGATGGAGATGCAATCCAGGAAGATTCGCCACGCCTTCAAAGGTATCGACTCCGCCAAGAAGTGGTTTGTTGACAAGGATAGGGGCTACGTCATGGCTGGCTGGGACTCGATTCTCAGGATCAGCCCCAACCCTGGGGACGCCCTTTCGACGTTGCACTGGGCGGACAACCTCATCTCGAAGCTGGCCCTTCCCAAGCAGCAGCTCAGTGCTGCAGCCACTGCTGTCGTGGCACCGCCTGAGCCCGCCGCGTGGAGCCTTTAGCAGTATGGGGCGTCTTCTTTGCGGTGAACGAGCTGGCAAATATTTGGTTTCCTTCTCATCTTGGAACTCTCGGGCTCTTCTTCAATACCAGGGTGCTCACTCGAAGTGCAAAGCGAACTACCTCCGTCGCCTAAGCTTTTTGATTGGGGTGGTCTGCTGGCAAGAAGTGCATCAGGATGCTGTGCAGTTGTGTGGCTTTATTGGGGAAGCTCACCACGACGTGCGTATCTTCTCGTCCCACTGCGGGGGCTCGTTAGTGAAATGGGGGAGTCGCCACAGTACTTCCGTCTTCTTGCCCTGATTCCGTGGCTCCCCTTGGGCTGGTTCCAGGCCGAGCTCTCTGGCTTCATCTTCAGCATAGTGGTCATCATCTCTTTCGTTGCAATGTACACAACCACGGGATTGGCCATGAGCAACTTCTTCGCATTGGTGTTACCCTCCGTCAGGGTATCCGGGCTGCTCGGCTTGATCCGCACTCCGTCGCGGTCGTTGTCTACGGCGACTTCAATGTTTCGCACTCTTCTCCGCTCCTCTTTCATCGGCCAGGGCGTCGTCTGGGCCCTGGGCGAGCGCAACATGCACATGCAGCGAAATTGATCCAGATGCCCTCCCTGCTTACCGAGGTCTCCCCGGACGAGCCCACGCACTATGACGCCTGCGCTCATTCTGTCGCCGTCGTCGACCGCATGTGGATCAGCTTCCCAGGCTGGGCTCTTTGTCAGGTGCTGGCAGTTCCCCGTGTCATTGGGCCCCCTGAGGCACTGGCGGAATCAGATCAGCGATCGCGCCGCTCACGCCTGCCCCTGCTCAACCAGATCCACCAAGCCTCAGGGGTTCCAGAAGATCCCGAAGCACATCTTCGAGTCCGCGGCGTTCCGCGAACTGCTTGACACGGCCACCTCGCAGCTTGACTTCGCCTCGCGCTCCCCCCCGCGTCAAATCGAGCTCTTCAAGTGGGCTGTGAAGGAGGTGGCGCGCGAGGTGCGCGATCGGTTTCCCTGGTCTGACCCTGCGGGCTTGGGCTCTCGACTTCTTTTGGCGCGGCAAATTTCCCGTGCTGTGCGGCGCAATGATGTTTGCCTTGCTGTTCGTCTTCGTGGCGCTCACCACGCTGCGGCGGAGTTCTTGTCGATCGCCTCTGGCGCTGTCTCCCTGGTCCATGCGCCGTCTTTTCAACGCTGGAGTGAAGCGATTCAATTGCGTCGCGCCGGCTTTCGACGACGACAACTTGAGGCTGAAATTGCACGCGCGCGCCCCCCGCTCCCACGCGCTGGCTGCTATTCGCGTGGTCTCGCTCGGAGCTCGGCGCCCTCGCCAGCTCCAACATCGCCGCGCTCGCCACCGCCTGGCTGCTCGCATGCCGACCATTTCGAGCACGTCTTCGAGCCCCTCTACCTCTTCATCGTCTTCTTTGTCGTCGTCCTCCGCCAGTGCAGCCACTATGTCGTGCACCTCATCGTCGCGCGGATCGCGCCCGTCGCCGCCCACCCTGGCTGCGGCGTTTGAACTCGACGACCTGAACGACCCGCTGGCGGCAACGCAAGGTCGCAGTGAGGAGGCTGGGCTACTGAGCAATGCTGTCGTTGAGGACTGGAATGGGACGCTGTCTTCATTGCCTGAGCCTGGACTGCCCCCCACCGTATTTCTCGCAAGATGCTGATGTCAGCGGCTGGGACATCGTGCCTGAAGCTCCGGACCAAGCTCCGTTTCGAGTCCCAGATGACGCACCGCGCCCTTGTGAAGCGACTTCATCCCTCTTCTAGTCGTCTTGCCCATCATTCTCTTCTCGCCCCGTCTCTTCTTGTCCCTGCCTTCTCGTGCTGCCTTGCACTTCTCTTGACCGCCGCCGTTTAGGGCCCTTGAGCCGCTCTCGCCTTGCCGGAAAGAGCGGACCGCCCAAGCGAGCCCTGCCGGGCATTCCGTCTCCCGTCTGGATGGCTTTCGATTGAGACATCCTCAAGTTGGCAGCGGAGCGCGCTGCGCTCCTCGGCCTCTCCGCGCCTGGTGCCATGGCAACCGCGAGCTTCGAAGGAAGTGGTGTCAAAGCATGTCCGATAGCTGGTCCTCAACAGAGCTGGGAGTCCTACGAAGAGGATCTCAGTGCGTGGGTGCTGTCCACTGTCCACAGAGCTGAAGCCAGAACATGTAGGGCTACACATAAAGAGTAGAGGTTTTTTTCGTCTAACTTGTTCTTCAAGAACCAAGCGAAACTTCTTGACATGGCTCGGCTGTCTGCCGATCCAAAGAATGAGTCCGGAGCGACTGGCTCCCTTGGCTTTAATTACCTGTTGTCCTTTATGCAACAAGAAAACAGAACCAAAGACGACGTGGCAAAGCTGTTGCGTTTCTCGTCTTGGCTAAAGTACACCCGGAACGGTGGAAAACTGCAGGATTACGTATCCGAAAGCGTCGGGCTCATTAGCGAGTTCGAGGCTGATAAATTCGTCAAGCTGGAAGAGTTTGTCAAAGCCCTCATTCTCATAGTGAACGCAGAGCTGTCCCAACACCAACTCAGCAACCTGAGCGCTCGTTTAGACGTGGATGCAACCCTGACTGTTAGAAAAGCGAGGGATGCAATCCAGAAGGTGCTGGGAGACAACCTCCTGGGAAAAGCTGCGACGGACGGACTCGCCGCAGACGTCTGGGGCGAGCCTGAATGGCCCGATTCTCAGTGGGGAGACACGGCTTACTACGACCAACCATGGCAGGAAGCCAGCTGGGAAGACGCCGCCTACGGAAATACAAAGGGGTGTTTGAGGCGTGGTGACCCCAACCACTGGGTCGAGAGCTGCCCACACCCACCCAACAAGGGGAAAACGAAAAGAACTTTTACCCCTGGAAGGGGTTCAGGCAAAGGGTACGGAACAGGAGCTGGAAAGGTACCCCTTGGCAGGGGGAAAGGGTTCAATACTTACCCGGCTGGTAAGTACAACGGAAAACCTACGACTGCAAAAGCCACAAGCTCCAAAAGCAAAGGCAAAGGCAAAGGCAAAGCTTCACAGAAACCGTCGGGAAAACACAACCACGCATTCACAGCTGATGACTCCAGCTGGTGGATGGGGTCTGGTGATTGGTCAGAGCATCCTGACTGGAGCTCTGGTCAAGCCAGCGGCTACGACTACCACCCCGACTCGGATGCCCAACTCGCTTGGTCATTCGTGGCGGAGCGCTCAGACGAGCCTGCTCCTGACAGCCAACCACCGCAACCGCCCGACGAGCGGGGGCCACCGAGCCTACCGCCAGAGCAAGCGCAACAGCTACGCGCCTTCAGGGCGCAACTGCTCAACAACGAGCTTGCGCACCTCCGGCCCCTCCAGGAACAGAGGTTGCCGGAAACGTCGCGTCCGCCACCCAACGCTGCAGCAACTGCGTCGTCCAGCTACACCG